CCCAGGGACTTCATTCCTTATAGCTCATCTAATATAAGACAAACATTGATCAATCATTGTATTTAAATAATAATGATAATTATTAATAATAATCATAATAATAATTACATTTATTTTGTTGACCCACGGGCCAACATACCTAGTGCATTCAATAAGTTGAAGTTTTCTCTCATTTTATGATTATCACTGGATGAAACCAATTTAAATGTCTTAATGTTAACATAAATTTTCTTCTTTGCACAGATAGCGTTCATCTATGGAGAAAGATACAGGGTAAACATTAAACAATATTAAAATATTAAAAAACAATTAAAATATTGTCTGTAAATAAACCAGAAATCTGACTTGTTGTAACATTTGTACAAAAAATATGTTTTTGTATTTTTTCCTTTGAGGTCCTTTGGTGTGCTTTTATTGACAAAAGAGTCACTTGCAACATTAGACGATGGAATGTGGCTGAATGACATTGTCATGGACATTGTATTGAGGTAATTATTTTGAAGCATCATAAAACTGCAAATCATAATATTCTTAGCAATAATTTTCTACTAAATGTTTCTAGGTCTGTTCATGATGAACTAGGACGTCATAAAAGGCGGAAATCTTTGATCTACCCAGTGCATTTTTACACTAAATTGAAAAACAGGTAGGAGTTACTGATATGTTAAGAAAGATCTTTAAACTCATAAAAAGGGATCATTAAATTAATTTGAATTACACTGTGAGTTTCTCTTTATATGTTTGTAGATGATCATGCTACAGTATCTAGCGTCACATGGGCTTTGAAGAAGTCATGTACTGTCATAGTTATATATTGAATCGTATTATTGAAAAATGACCAACCATATGATTTATCATTTATCATGCAATTGTAGTGGATTTTCAGGTGTCGTCAACTGGACAAAACATGAGGACATTTTTCGAAAGGACTATCTTTTGATAGTTGAGAATGCTCTTGGGTGAGAACTTTACATTATTTATTTACTGGTTGTTATTACTTATTACACAGCTCAAATATGAATGTTCAGTTGCACCTTCTTGCAGTCTGTTGATTCTCAGTAACAACACCAATTGGGGTTTATGATGCAATAACCAGTTGAATGTACTTTTCATAT